TTTTGCTCTAGCTATCTGTGTGCTGGCGAAATCACAGAATTCTGCGCCACCCAAGACCCGTCTCACGCTCTGAGTATGTTCATAGGGAAATTCCTGACATTTGCAAATTTTACTCGAAATGCAGAGCAAAAACGTGTTCAGAGTGCACGTTGTAGGCCCATTAAGATTGAATTTATTGGGCCGACGTGGTGGTACAGGTAAACTTTCAGGAATGGGGCGGATAGGAACTGGGGCGGGGCGAATCGAAATTGCAGGGAGGGGAGGGAGGGAAAACGGTGCCATCCAGGTGGCAACCTCATGAAGGGCCAATGGGCGCCCTCGCACACACAGCCTGCGGCAGACATCGGCAATTTTCTGAAGGGCCAATCGGCCCCTCACATCGCCTCTCGCACACAGAATTTGGTCAAGGGCCACTCAGCTCCCTCACACAGCCCCTAGTACGCACAGGCCTTCGATATTCATGAAGGGCCAGTCAGCTCCCTCACACAGTCCCCAGTACACATTGATCTTTGATTTTGGTGAAGGGACAGTAAGTGCCCTCACAAAGCCCCCAGCAAGCATCACACCCTGATTATGGCTGAGTTAAATCATATATATATTTTATATATGTTTGTAAGGCTTGGTAGGTGTATGACATTACTGAATCCTACTGTAGAGGGGACAAACCCCACCTTCTTGTATTTCCTCTCTTTCTTAGTGCACCTCTTTTCTCTTGTCAACTTTCTCCTACCCTAGCTAAACCTCTCGCTAGTCCTATGCATAGTTCCTAACCCTACCTTAACATAAGGGCCAGTCAGCACCCTCCACAGGGGTACCAGCGCAAATCACGCTCCCCCCAAATCTCGATATTACACAAAATCATAGTCAACCCCCCATATAGGGTTGAGGCATCAGAGTACACGAGTAAAAAAAGTCTATGCAATCAGAGTAGACCCCCAGAAAAACTCTGAAAAAAAACTGAATAAGAGTAAAAAGTCTGCAATTTGGGGGTCTGCTCTGGTGTTCCTAGATCTTGCTTCGTCATTCCAATGTACCACATTCTGTTATTCTGATTCTTGACATTCGATTCTGCGCTACTCTGGTGAAACACTCATAACATGGTTCAAGGAAGTTGTTTCAAAGTATCACTCAATTTTTGTTCCCTAATGCATGTAATGCATAATCATGCTATAGTCAAAACGACTGAATAATCGTGCTTCACGACATGGACAATGATTCGTTTACGTGTGATGAAGTTATAGAGGTAAAGGTAACAGAAAACACGTCACATACCGTATTCCCCCGGATATATGCGCCTAGGTGCGTTTAGGGATTATAATCCAAATTTGGGGGGTGCGTTTATTTGGAATATTTTTTTATGGCACGGTGCATTAAAAACGTCTTTCTGAAAAATATTGAAACAAGCATGAAGATGTTGCTCAGACGATTTGCAAATGAATGGAACGCTCCCAAATGGGAACAACCAGAGCAGTCTCGCAAAAATTGATTCCCACTCGATTGACGCGTCAGCCAGGCAGAAGGATCACTGCCGTTTGCCGGTGCGCAGGCTAGCAGGGGTGATCCTGGCCATCAGTTCTCTCACCTAACTAGATCTCATGTGAATCGCAAGATCGGGGGTCGATTTCGTATGATGGAATGATTCGTCAGATGTATCTGACGCGAAATGTGGTCAACATAGTCAGGGCTAGATTCCCGCATGGGAAAATACAGTGGCGGAATAAATTGTCCACATGTTCAGCCTTTTTTGGCATTATGATGAGTGCAGCGGCTTAAACATTAAGCCTTAATGTATGGTGTGCATACACGCTGAGAAGATCAGTTAGAGCACTCACTCGAGTTGCCAAACACCGAAGTAGTACCACGCATGGTCCTTAAACACCTAAGCATAGCATAGGATAACATCCGGACAATTTGTACCGAAAACAGGTAGCATACTAGATTCTAGGAAAACTAGTACCTAGTCCAGCGTCCCTTTGCCCGAATCACTGCCTCGATCCTCCTCGGCAGGCTGTCGATCAGGTTTGCACTCACCTCCACCGGTATCTTGTCCCATTCCTCCTGCACCCTCTCCCACAGCTCCAGCATTCCACTTGGCGGCTTTTCGTACTTCCCCAGCTGCCTTTTCAAGTGTGCCCACAGGTGCTCAATCGGGTTAAGGTCCGGGGAGCACGACGGCCATTCCAGCACCTCGTACTCCTGCTCCCCAAGCCAGTCTTGGACCAGACGAGACATGTGCTTGGGATCATTGTCGTGCTGGAAAATGACCTCTGAGGGGGAAAGCTTGAAAAAATCGATGGTCTGTTTGAGCTCATCTTGCAAGATGCTGCGATACAGCGGCCCATCCATCCTGCCATCTATCTTGCAAATGATCCCCGCCCCCTCATACGTCATGCAACCCCACACCATCACAGAACCGCCCCCATGCTTAACTGTCTGTTGGACTTGATGGCTCCGAAGGCTGGTGCCCTCGCGAATCCAGGCGTACGCACGTCCGTCAGAGCAGTAGCGGTTTATCTTTGTCTCGTCAGACCAAATCACCCGCTTCCAGTCGGCATGCGACCGCGCGAAGTCGAGACGATCTCGGATGTTTTTCGGTGAGAGCCTGGGTTTCTTGGGCTGATGCACGGCGATCAGCTCCGCGGATCGTAATGAGTTCCGGACCGTCTTCGAGTCTACGGCGAGATCGTGCTTCTCCAACAACATATTTGCCGCGTCTACAGAGCTTTTCGCCTCGCCGCTTGTAATCGCGCGTATTATTCCGCGCTGAAGATGGGTAGTGATTAAGCGGGGGCGGCTGGCCGATGGCATCGTAGGTCGCACCTCCTCAAGACTAGTCTCGGCAGCGAGTTTCAAACCGTAATCGTGCACGGTGCTCTTGCCTATGCCAAGAACTTTGCCTATTTTCCTAGTCGAATGCCCCGCACGCAACATGCTTATGATCCTCGCGCGCTTCTGCTCATTTAACGGCTTCATAGCGATGCGGTCGTAGGCTCGCTTCCGGACTAACTCCTAAGCCAGCAACTGTTGCACGTGACGATGTACACACCGAGTGACGGGGGAAAATAGATCTACTCTTCCGCTCGGTAGGAAATGTCCGCATCGATAGTCGAGGAGTAAATTTCAACCCCACTTTCCGGTTGTGTCACAATCGCGCCAAGCAAGAAAAGGTTGAAGCAGACCTCGAAAACCTTGTAACGGAATGGCAAAAAATGGGTGTTACTATTTTCGAAACATGTGTGGCATAGCGATACGTACAAAGTGTTAAACATCCGGGCAATTTATTCCGCCACTGTAAGGTGGGTGCATATAGGGATTGGAATCTGGAAGGGGGGGGGGGGGGGGGGGGGGGGGAAGGGGGGGAGGGGGGGACGTATCGTTGGCACATCCGATATGGCACCCCTCCGGATATATGCACCATGGTGCGTTTTAGCCGGCAGTGCGTATATCCAGGGGAATACGGTAATATAGGTGTTTATGTGTTTCGAAATGATGTGCATGCCTCATGTGTTTACTTGCTCAAACGAAAATAGGATCTTGTTCTGTATTTTGAGAAGGCACTGTGCTTATAGGAAACTTACACTTCGTTCACACCAACACCAGGCTTGGATGTTGCTTGTAACAATCCAGAGCAAAACTGGAAGGAATTTTATTCGTTACCGGGTTGTACTGCAATCGCGTACACCCGAACTCTCGGAAGACCATGCTCGGTCCGTTTCCGACGCGACCCCGAGGCTGGCTCGCATTGCTTCCGGCCCTCGACCATGCCTGTGCCCAACCTATTCCTCCGGGCTCGTCACCTAGCTAGAATTCTCGCTATATAATGCTAGGCTCCCATCCTTGTACTCGTCATGATTATTCTGCGCACTCTCAGTTATTATTCATAACATCTGGTATCCGAGCTACTTTCGTGGTTCACTCCACTTTCCCAGGGTAGTTTATTGCCAAGGCGTGGTTAACCCTGCGGGGCTGCAAAGCGGTTGTTCGTGAGCTAGATTTATTAGCTCACACAAATACGATAGCATTTGCACCCCCCGCGGTTTCTTACCACGGCCTTTCCCCTACCCGAAAGGCGTAGCATTCGCATCATGACTCAGGCCCAGCTAGACGAGGTCATCACTCAGATGTAGGCAATGCAAGCCCAGATGGTGAGTTTAAATAGTGAAGTCGTGAGACTTCGGACGGAGAACACCGAGCTTCGTTAGACACGTGATGAAGAACATCAAGAGTCGCCTGGAGTAGCAGAGAATGATGTCAAGCCAGAAGCCAAAGACGAGGCGAGCGAAACCGTCCTTGACGAGCTCGCACGGGAGTTGGAGCAGGACGACACGCGTACTGTGACTGTGACGAAGATTAAGCTCAAGCCCGCCACGCCGCCCCCGTTCAACCCTTTGAACAAGGCGACGATGGCGCGAGGGTGGTTGTTCAGCATGGAGCTATTCTTCACGGCCGCAAGTGTGCATATAGACGATGCACGCATCAATTATGTCGTGTTGCTGCTCCGAGGACCGGCGTTGGACTAGTGGCGATGACAGTTGGCAATTGAGACTCCAGCAGGCGTGACACAGGCGAAGGACGGGACTTCGGATTCTTCAAACCAACAGGCAGAAACGATTTTCGGTACGACCACAATTCGCACGTGGAAACAGTGGGGCACAATTCTGCGAGCCCGTTTTGAGCACTCATCCGCCTCAGACGACGCTCGCATGAAGCTGCGCAGCTGGCGGCAAGTGACTACTGTTCAATATTACACTATGTCATTCTTGGCACTTGCGGACCAAGTGGACGACCTCAGTGAAGCAGAAAGGTGGGATAAATACATCAGCAAGCTGCATTCCGACATTCAGTATGAGTTGCAACGATCCTGGCCCAAGACGTTCGATGAAGCTGTCCAGCTGGCGTCAGCAGCTGATGCACTGCAGCAGTGGGCAAAGAAGAACATTAGGGATGTTGGTCATTTTTTTGGACAGTCTCCCCGCCCCACGATCAATGGCGTGTCTGTGCCTGATGAAGTATTTCGCGGGCTATGCTAGAGATGTGACAGGCCAGGTCACCAAGCTAAGTTCTGCCCGACGGCGCCCAAGAAGACAAAGAACGACAAGGAGAAGCCAGGAAATGGGAAAATTCAGTAGCAGACGGGCCCCCTACTGACGAGGCTTTATCGCTTGAAGTTCAGCGTTCCCACCAGGGTGTGGTACCGATACATGCTATCGACCGCACTCGGACGAATAACGGGAGCGAACCTGAAGATCACCCTGTGCTGGTCGAAGGCAAGGTGAATGGAAGAAGAAGAAGAAGAAGAAGAAGAAGAAGAAGAAGAAGAAGAAGAAGAAGAAGAAGAAGAAGAAGAAGAAGAAGAAGAAGAAGAAGAAGAAGAAGAAGAAGAAGAAGAAGAAGAAGAAGAAGAAGAAGAAGAAGAAGAAGAAGAAGAAGAAGAAGAAGAAGAAGAAGAAGAAGAAGAAAAAGTTATTTGTGGATGGCGGGGCTAGTCATAGCCTAATCCACGTGACCACAGTGAAGCAGTTGAAGCTGACATTGGAGAAGTGTCTTCGCAAAATCGACGCGCGACTCGTGGATAGGACACCACTTGCAATTTGGAACCGACCGCGAGTGGTGCGATGAAGTGTGGCAAAGATTTCGGATTCAGCATGCCCATGCTGGCGATGACGCTTGACGGCCGCGACATCCTTCTCCGACACGATTGGCTGCAAAAATACAACCCAAGGATTGACTGGACAACTGGCGAATGCAGCGTGCACTGTGCGTACTACCGTGCTGGCGCGGGTGGGATCCGGTGTCGACACATGTCAACGCCCTCACCCTCCAGCAAGCGGTTAAACGGGGAGGTGATTTGTACGCCGTCCATCTGCATGAAGCGACAGTTGAGGACATGCTGAAGGATATCGACAAACTTTATGGCAGTGTCCCTGTCGAGCTCGCTGCGCTGATTCGACAGTACCCGGATATTTTTCCAGATGTCCTGCCAGCCGGATTGCCACCTAAGCACCCCCAGGACCATAAATTTGACTTGGAACCTGGCAGGACACAGTGGCGGCTGACTCAGCCTGAACTCACAGAGTTGCGAAGCCAGCTGGACTACCTACTGGAGAAGGGGTTCATTCGACCCAGCACGTCCCCGTTCGCAGCGCCCATATTGTTCACACCCAAAAAAGATGGAGGGCTACGAATGTGCATTTATTACCGGGCGCTGAATCGACGAACCATCAAATCTCGCAACCCAATCCCACTCGCGGACGATCTCCTTGACCAACTTTGCGTGGCTCGCTTCTTCTGCAAGATTGACCTGCGAGGCGGTTACCATCAAATCATAGTTTTCGCTGACGACTGCCACAAAACAGCGTTCCGAACCTGCTACGGCAGCTACGAGTACATGGTGATGCCTTTTGGCCTCACGAATGCGCCCTCTACATTCCAACTGACCATGAACGGCATGTTCATAGATCTACTCAACAAGTGCATCATCGTCTATCTCGATGACAACTTGGTCTTCAGCAAGACACAGGAACAGCACCTCCAGGACCTCAACCGGATTTTTCAACAGCTGCAACAGAATCGACTCTTCACCAAGGGCTCTAAGTGCGAGTTCCTAAAATCCGAACTGGAATTTTGGGGACACGTCGTCGGAGCGGAAGGCATTAAAATCGATCCGAAGAAGATCACCACCATCCGCGAGTGGAAGCCGCCCACGAATTTACAAGAGCTGCACAGTTTTCTTGGGTTCGTTCATTATGTCCGACGATCTATCCCCAATATGGCCGAGACAACCCGACCTTTAACTGACCTGCTGTGGAAGGAAACTTCTTTTGAGTAGGGGGAAAGACTGCAAGCTGCTTTTGATGAACTCAGAAATTTTCTGATGTCACCCCCGATCCTCCGAATCGCTGATCCATCTCAACCGCTCGAAGTCTTTACGGACGCTAGCGATTTTGCCATCAACGCGGTATTGTTACAGGATTTCGGCGACGGACTCCAACCAATCGCGTACCAGTCCAGGAAGTTGAAGGCAGCCGAGCGCAACTATCCCGTAAATGACAAAGAAAATGCTCGCCATCGTACACGCGTTCAAAGTGTGGCGCTGCTACCTGACAGTAGCCGACGTGACAGTAAAGACAGACCACAAATCCCTACAGTACCTCCGCACGCAGCTGAACCTCAACCCATGACAGATTCGCTGGTTGAATTTCCTCGAGAGAAACTTCTACTACACCATTACGTACAAACGTGGGGTGAATAACATCGCCGACGCACTGACACGACCGTCCGCCCATCTCGCCTCCATCAACATTGCACAATCCAACCCACTGCTCACCGGACTATTTACCCACGGCTATAGCACCGACCCCTTTTTCACCCGCAACCTCCACCAACAAGCCACCACGGCTAAGGGAATATATTTCCTAAAAGCCGGTACTGACTGTATCTGGGTTCCCGCTTACCGTCTCCTTCGCGAATTACTCATTCAGGAATTCCATGACTCTAACTTCTCCGGTCATTTCGGGGTTGACAAAACCCTGAAATTACTTCACCGTCTTTATTATTGGCCAGATTCCGCGTCTGATGTGCAAAGATACGTTTTGGCGTGCCCAACCTGCCAACGCATGAAGTCCTCTTGACATCGGCCAGCTGGACTGTTGCAACCGCTCGAGCCACCCCAGAAGTCGTGGCAATACATGACGATGGACTTCGTCACGGGACTTCCGGCCGGCACAAATGGCAACGATGCCGTCCTCTTCGTCACCGATTGCTTGATGAAAATGGCGCATTTCGCACCCTGACGCACGACCATCAGAGTCGAAGAAACCGCCAAACTCTTCATCTCCACCATTGTTCGTCTGCACGACCTCCCGTCGGCGATCATCAGCGACCGCGATCCCAAATTTACGTCCAAAATCTAGCAAGAGACATGGGAATAGTACGACACCCGCCTGCAATTCTCATTTGCCTACCACCCACAAACCGATGAGCAGAAAGAGCTAACCAATCAGACCATGGAGCAGCTTATACGCACCAACTGCCCCAACCTCGTCCGATGGAAAGAACTCCTGCCCATGCTGGAATTTTCCGATAACAACGCCCCATCCGCAACAACTAATCACTCACTATTTTTCCTCAACTACGGGATGGATCCCACCATTCCCACGACGACCAACATCGACAACCCAGTGCCCCGATCCCATAAATTCATTAACGACCTCTAGACCGCACGGGAAAAAGCGATCGGATTTATTCGGAAGTCCAACACTACAGCTCGACGCTACACTGACCTTCATCGCCGAAATATTACGATGACCGCAGGGCAACTAGTCCTTCTCGACAGGAAGAACCTCCGCCTGCCCCTGCCCTCCAAACTCCGCCCAAGATTTTGTGGGCCATTCCGCATCCTCAAGATGGTGACACTGTCAAATTATACATATGGTTATATGTAGAAGATATAGCCTAGATAGTCTTGTGTTCTTAGAGAGTACAACTCCAACCCTACATCTCCCATGTACTCTATTGCTCTAGTCATTCTTGTATTCTAACATGGTATCATGAGTAGGTTACGTCCGCCCACCCGCTTCCGCCCCTAGCCCTAGCCTACCGCCCCGCCGGCCCCTAGCGTGCTCGCTGCCCCTAGCGTACCGCCGGCCCCTACTGTCCCCGCTGCCCCTAGCGTGCCCGCCGCCCCTTCACCGCCGCGCCAGCCTCTCACGTATCCCGCCGGCCCCTCGTGCCTAGCCGACCCCTAGCGTACCCGCTGCCCTCCCCCCCCCCCCCTCCCCCCCTCCACAGCGCTCGGCCGGCCCCTCGCGCACCTCGCCGGGCCCTCGCTACCCACCACCCCTTAAGCGCCCTGTTGGCCGCTCACGCTTAGCCAGCCCCTCGTGCGCTCGCCCGGCCCCTCGCGCATCCGCCTGGCCCACCGCGCACCTCGCCGGCCCTTCGCGCTCGCTGGCCCTTCACGCCCACCGGCCCCTCACGCGTCCGCCGGACCTTCGCGTGCTCGCAGACCCCTCACGCGCTCGCCAGCCCCTCCCGTGCTTCCCTGCCCCTCACGCACTCGCCAGCCCTTCGCGCGCGCCGGCCGCTCACGTGCCCGCCGGCCCCTCCCGTGCCCACCGGCCCCTCACGCACTCGCCGGTCCTTCGCGCGCGCCGGCCTTTCACACGCCCACCGGCCCTTGTGCCCGCCGTCCCCTCACGCGCTCGCTGGCCCTTCACACGTGCAGGTCCCTCATGCGCCCGCTCGCCCATCCCGTGCCCGCCGACCCCTCCCGTCGCTCCTCTCCGGCCCTTAGCACCTTGCCGGCCACCTAGCGCCTCGTTGGCCCCAGTGCTCTGTCGACCCTTTGCGCCCTTCTGGCTCTCCGCGCCCCGGGCCCTGCACACCCCGGGCCCCTCCTCGGCGTTCCGCTCGGTCTTCTCACCGGAGAAACCTGCCGTTGTACCGCTGTGTCGCCGTGCCGATGTCTCGTCGTGCCGCTGAGCCGCCGTGACGCTGTGCTGAGGAGGTTGCACGATGGCGAATGCTGTGCTTCGCCTTGACATGGAGGGACACGCGATCGAGTTTGCCGCCTGGCTTGTCGATCTCCGCCGTCACTTGACAGGTCAGCGCCAGGATGGGCACTCCCTGGCTAAGCATGTTGATGGCTTGCTTCCCCGCCCCTCCGCACTTGATCCGCTCCCTGCTGACCCCACCACTGTTGAGAGTGAGGCCTTTGCTGCTGCTGCACTCGCTCGCGTTGTTTGGGACTCTCGCGATGCTGTAGCACAACTCGCCATTAGTCATGCGCTTCCCCTGTCTGAGTGCCCGTGCTTCAGGGCTGTCGCGAACGACAAGGATTTCCTAGATGCAGTAGCTGCATGCTACTCTACACTCGCCTCTGCCTCTGCTGACCGCTTGATCCTCCCCATGCTATTCCCCGATCGGTCCGCTTTCCCCACTGTTGCTGACCTCGCTACTCACCTCCATGCACTAGAGACTAGCTACCGCGCTGCTAGCACTACCGCCCAGCTCACTGCCTTCCCCCCGCCGTTCTGCGCTTCCCTGTACCTAATTGCCATGCGCCTGCCGGACCGCTTAGCCACTGCCCGCAACCACTTCCTTAGCCAGCACCTTGGTGACCTCACCCTGACCGCCTTTGTCACTGCCCTTTTTGAGATAGAGACTCAACAGCGCACTATCTCTCAGTCTAGCGGTGTTGTGACAGTCCCTATCTTTCAGGGCTATGCTCCCTCCTAGTGCACGTACGCTGACGTTTCCGCCGTGGTTGCTACAGATGCTCCTGCCAACGAGACCGACAGCGTCGGGGCCATCGCGGCCCCAAGGGAGAGTGCGGTGGTGGTGCTGGTAGTGGTGGTGGTGGTGGCGGAGACAGTGGTTCTGACGAGGGGGCTGGGGCCGGTGTCCGGGAGCAGCAGCAACCGCAGCAGACGCACTAGCAGCAGTCGCAGCAGCCGCAGCAGCAGCAGCAGCAGCAGCAACCGCAGCAACCGTGGGCCCGTCTCCCGTCGGGGTGGCCAGGAGCCCCTGGAGGTGGTGGTTCCGGTAGCGGTCCTCGCAGCTTTGGTGCTGTGAGCTGTGAGCTGCCAGTACCATCTCCAGACCGGGCCCCTCTGTGGCACTGTGTGCCGCCGCTCGCTGCATCCACCGCCTCGACGACCTCTTCCATCGCCGCTTCGGCCCGGCCCGGGACCTCCCTGATTGGCCCAGTCTGTTGCGGCACGATGTGCCTGTTTTTGACTTAGACATGGATCAGATTAGTTCTACCCTGCATTCTCTGTATGTTGACGCTTCTAGTGTGTTCGGATCTTATTACCCTGTGTTCTCTAGCTTAGGCGTAGCACCTGTGTATAGTACAGACACCCCTGCTGCATCAGGCGTAGGACCGTTTGCTTTGTCTAGCCTAGGCTCTAAAGTTGCTCCTCCTTCGTCCGCCGCCACCGCTTCGCTCTTCTTCACACTTGAATCCGGTGCGTCTGCCTGCTTCTTCCGCGACGACGCTGCGCCCACGACGCTTGCCGTGCCTGCCACTGTCGCACTTGCTGACCCATCCTCTGGTTCTGTAGTTGCTCGTAGTTACGCTACCCTTCCCTGTCCTGCGGTTCCCTCGGATTCCCTTACAGGCTTGCATTTCCCTTCGTTCTCCCGGAACTTAGTTGGTGTCGGCTGTCTTCAGGACCTCGGCATCACCAGTACGTTCCTTGGTCACGAGCGGTACGCTGTCTGTACCGAGGCCGCCTCAGGTTCCCCCTTTGTGACGTTCCCCCGGGGCCCGGTGTCTGGCCTATTTATGCTGGACACTGGTTCCCCCCCGGGTGGGGCGTCCTCCCTGGGTCCTGCGTCTACCCAGGTTGCCGTTGCATGCTCGTGTCAGTCACTCACTCACCCGTCGCTTCTTTGGCACCACCGCCTAGGTCACCAAGCACTCCCGCGTCTGCATCACATATCCCAGCACGGTTTCATACTAGGTCTCCCTGCGTCACTTCCTGCCCTCCCTCCCTCGCCTGTGTTGCCGTGCATTCCTTGCGTCGAGAGCCGGCTGCGCCGTGCCCCTCACTCATCGTTGTTTCATCCTGCCACTGCACCCCTCCAGACCCTGCACCTGGACGTCTGGGGCCCAGCCCCCATCCCTAGACCGCGTTGCGAGCGCTACTTTCTAGTGCTCGTGGACGACTACACGCGCTACACCATGGTGTTTCCCTTGGAGCGGAAGGCCGACGTGCCTGGCGTTCTTATCACGTGGGTCGTAGCTGCACGCCTCCACCGCGGTCTCCCTGTGCTTTGTCTCCACTCCGACCGTGGCGACGAGTTTGCCTCTGGTCGGCTTGGACAGTTCTGTCGTGCGGAGGGCATCACCCAGACGTACACCTTGCCGAAATCCCCGCAGTAGAATGGGGTCGGCAAGCGACGCATCGATTTGGTCATAGAGGTGTCTCATAGCTCCATGATTCATCCTGGCGCACCCCATTTTCTATGGCCATTCGCCGTTCGCTATGCCGCTCACCAGCTTAACCTCTGGCCTTGCTCTCAGCGGCCGCAGGTTTCACCGACCCTTCTTTGGACCGGGTTCCCTGGTGACGCGTCTGCATTCCACGTCTAGGGCTGCCTCGCTCACGTTCGCGCCTAAGGCACGGACAAGC